ATTGAAAGTAATATTAATCCATTTTCTTTTCATTTCATTTCGATTAGAATATATATTCAAACAAATAAAATAAATTTTACTATTATTCTTCGATGAATTCTAATGTAGAACTATAGTACAGATACAACATATACTTAGGGCATATTAAAAGTAGTGGTAGTGACACTTTAATACCGTATAGTAAAGTTAAGAAAACTTTCTTTCTATATAGTCTGATAGAGTAAGAAAAGCTCTATCATTCTATACTATTCGATCATACAGCAACTAATATCATAATCATAAAATTTCGATAAGATGTGTTTCGTTGTCATATGTGCTGGTTGTATTATTACTGATTTTAAAAAATACGAATGAGTATTTATTTTAAATAACTATTGATAGAAATAAGATAAAGAAGTGCGGTTTTCATCGTTGGAAAGAGGAGATGAAGATGTATTGAATCATATATTGCAGATGAAAGGTTCTCCCGATTGATCTTATTCAAACGAGCTTATCTGCTAAGTTGTTGACAGTGAGTTTTCAAATATCATCTATGAATTCAAATCGCTAATCGAAGATCTACAAAGTGCAGCTGACTAAGTTGAATAATTTATAATCTAGTGGAGTCTCTTATATGATTTTGTAGCAAAATCTATGAAAAAAGTTCATATTTGTGCTTTTTCCGACTGTTAAAAAAGTTTAATAAAAATACTTCAGAAATCAATATTAGAATAGCCTGGAATATACGATTCGATGCATCTTCATCTCATCTTGCCAACAGTAAAAACCATACTTCTCCATCTTATTTCTATCAACAAATATTCATAGAACCGTGACATGTCCAAACAAAATAGATCTTATCGAAATTTTATTATTGTGATATTAGTTGCAGTATGATCAAATAGCATTCAACGATACAGCTTTTCTTTCTCTATCAGACTATGTAGAGAGAGAAAATATCTTTAGTCTACTATAAGGTATTAAAGTGTTACTGCCACTACTTTTGGTATGCTCTAATTAATTCACCAGTATCAACCGAAGAGTTCGAACCAATCGATTTCACCCATACACGTGTATTTAATAACTGCAATCCATCGCTCTGATGAAAATATGCTCATGATTTGATCGAAAACGATATTAATCTCTTCAAAGCTTGCATTAAATACCAAACTTACAAAACCATTCAGTTTCTCTTTAAAAATTGTTGTGTTTCGTTCTCATTACAAATTCAATATTTGTTTGCTAAATGCGATCGTGTAGTGTCAATTTTACTATCTAAAGTCAATCGCGTTTATCATAACTCATTTCTTGTACTTTGAAGAGTTTACCAATCGAGAACAAAACTTTTTGATCGTCTGGAGCGTAGCTGCAGCGTATGACATTGGCAAATGGTCATCATGATTTATCAAAATCAATTTCGATTTCAAACAGAACACTTGTCATTTCATCATCTTGATGTTCTGAGTCTAGAAATAGTATTGCACGATACTTTCAGTCGTGTCTACAAGTTGAAACTCAACATGCTGGTACTGATGATCTTGTTTCAGATAAGCATTTACATCTTGGAATAAAGCATTATAGAGTTCATCAAACTCTGTGCATACATTTTTCATCTATCCAATAAAATAACATTAACAATTGAGTGTGTGTTTTTATACTCCTTTTCTATCTGTATACCTTGAAGAAATATGAAGAATACGCTTTATAATAGTCTTTATCCTTACAAAAGATGTAAACTGATCTGATGCTTTTCAATGTAATCTTGATGTTTATTCGAACTATCAAGCGTTTTAACATAGTGGAGTATTAAATCATTGTCATTACTGGTAGCTAGCCAGATTAATTGATGTGGTTCAATATTGACATGGTTTCGATCTTACAGCGATGATATTTCTGTGCTGTTTTTTGTCCATTTAACCAACGGATGCTTTGATTAGTATGAAATGAAAAAGCTTCAATTCTAGTAGCATCAATATCACGATCATTCACATACTACAGAGCTATGTTAGTCGCTGAGAAAAAAAAAATGAGAATAACAACATTTACTCTTATTCATTCACAACTGGAGTACATCTCAGACACGTACATACCGAGACGCAATTTTCGTCAGCATACTTTTTTTCTCGAACAAAGAATTTCTCTTGAAAACCTGAATCCATCAAATTATGAAAGAATGTTTGATGAAAATATCAAGCTGATTCCTCAGATGCTCACCGAATATTGTCTGCAATCATAGAGAAAGAAGATATTTTTGACAAATAGTATATGTAACGACGTGATTTTGCCGAGAATAGCATGAAATGTTACTTCTAAATGTCAAATATGCGCTTTAAGGTGCGTCTTCAGTTGAATTGTTTGAAAGAGCAAGTTGAACATGATAGGCAGAAAATTATAAATGTCATAAAAACTGAAAGTTTTCAAGTTCATTTTGGTGGTTTCTGACAAGTTTATTGAAGACTAAGTGATATGTACTCAGATTTATCGATTTTCGAATTGATCTATATTCTCAAATTTGCTCTAGAAGTCGCATATTGTTAGCTATTTTCGTTCTCGAAATATGCATTCTAGCATTATTCTTTTCAATTTCTGCTGGCAATAATAGTTTCAGCACGTTGATGAAACGATACACGTTAATTTCTTTTCGCAAACCAAACATTGTTTGAAAACCTATTTAGATTGTGAGTTTAGAGATACTGCCGACACACTTGCCAAAAATACAATTATGCCAGAAGACTAGTACGTATAATGGGATAACTCTCAAAAGAGATATAATTTTTCTCATATAAAAAGGTTTAAAAAATGTGTAGCTATTTAAATTTTTGTACCTATTTTTTAAGATCAGATTTTAGCTAGTCTCTTCATAAAAAGCTGTTTAGTACGAAGAAACAATATTCAATCATTTGCAGCATTAGTAAATAAATATTCATTTTTGTTATAATAGGAATTAGGGATTTATTTAATAGTACTTATTGTTTACAAGCACGAAGCGGATGCTAGATGTGAAAAATGAATGAGTATATCTTGAGGAGTCATTGATTGTTCACTATATCATTTAAAGATATCAGATATGCGGTTGATAAATTTCTAGAGCTATTTAAATACGTAGTAGCTGTTTGTTCATGTGAAGTTGATTCATGACATCACACTATTTATTTTAAGAATATTATTACGTTGTTCGAGTTATGCAATAGAGTGCAGAAACAAAGAAACAACACCAATTAAAATCATTTAGCAGCTAATGTATATGTTTTAAAAGCACTAAATTAGCTATATGTATTAAATACGTAGTTAAATAAAATAGTTAGTTCAATTATATAGCTTATGATAATGTTATAAAATTGCCATATTTTAAATAGTTATGGCAGTTTAACGACTTGTAAAACTTTAAAGGACTATGATAATATAAATAACTATAAAGATTTATTTAAATGGTTGCATGTTTATTTAAAAAGTATCTATTTTGAGAAGCTACGAATATAATATGAAGCATCAGAATAAACTACTACGTCACTTGCTTGTTGGCACTCTGTTTTACTGAGTAGCTTTAATTATAGGGAGCAATTTAGACAACTATCTTCTCCTCATTTTTTTCTTTCCTACGTGTCAGTGCATAGTGATGGTAGCTGTCGATATGATTACATATTCAGCAAGCATGCTTGAATGTATAAACAACAACAATAATCGCTTATATTCAGCAGGTATTAGTATATGATAAAATCATTAATAGAATGAAAACGTGCTAACAATTAGCGAACGCAAAAACGAATAGCAATTATACTGTATTATGATCAATATGTTGTTAATATTTTCTCCAAACGAAAGATTTGGACGTCGTCATTTGTATGAAGTGTATTAGCTTAAAGATAATAAGAACCAAGATTATCTCCGAAACAAAGGAAATCGCTAGTGTTGAAGGACAATTCATCCTAAATTGAATAATTTTGAATGAAGAATCTCTGTACAACTCTTCAATACATCGGAAATTTCTACGTATGTTTTTTATGATGACTCTAAATATGAATATGAAAGTCATTTCCTATGAAATATGTGAATCACGAGGACTCTCGTCAATGTTTTACTACAGTTGATGCAAATATGTGCTGAAAATAAATGAAATACCAGTAAACGTTTATGAGTCTTCGTCTAAGTATATGATATTTACGTCAAAGAAGATGTTAGCAAATAAATTTAAATCATTCAGATATGAATAACTTTATTAATATATCAAACATCAAAAAAATACTTCGATAATATTACAGACAATAAAAAAATAAATAAAAGGTGCGTGCAGGAACAGTCACTATGTATTGAGTAATGGAAGTTTACTTTTTTTTTTAATTTTATGACAACTAATGAAAAATCATCTCATGGTTCTCGAAGATCAAATTGCATTATTTGTAAAGTGCTCAGTTAATACTCATGTCGTATGTTTGTTCGTATTATTGGCAAGTATCGATAGTTAATCGCCGACATAGCACACACTATATAATCTTTGAATAAACTGATTTAAGCGATTGTGAAAGCCTACAAAGGAAGGTGGATGCTAGAACTCATCGAGTCTACATTTTTTTAGATCCGGACTCGAACCGTATTCATAACACCCTCTACAAAAATTTTTGAATCCGTCCTAATCGTCGTTTCGAAGATACGAGATACTTTCTTCATTTATTTAGATGAAGCATCTAGCACGTTCCACGCATTTCTTTAGGCATCTTGCTAGTGATCCTTTAAGAATGTGAACATAATTGACTGTTTCTTTTAAAGTAACAATTGTCGGGTCACATTCATGCAATTTGAATATATTTGGCTGAAGATCGATGTTTTGAGGGCGGAAGTGTGTATTAATTGATTAAAATCTTCTTTATTATCAACATATTGAAGACTTTTAGTGAATTTTTGTTATGTTATTGTAAATATTTTAATTGATGTTTTGTGCTTGTGTATTAAGTGCAGTTGAAGAAGTTGCAATTAACATATATGATTGACAAAAAGACAACTACAAATTACCAAAACTAGAATCATTATTTTGAAATTTTATTCAAAACTTTTGGTCTTAAGATTTTATTCATTTGTTGCCATATACCACTTGTTTTCAAGTCGCCTTTACTAACTGGTACATGATTTAAACTTTGTAAACCAGGTAATAAACATAAGACATAGAATCGAAGATAAGGTATATTATCCTCAATTGGATTACGATATAATGTTAAATGTTTAAGTTCTTTTAATGAAACTAATTTTTCAATATCCTTTAGATTATGAAGAAGATTTTTATGAAAATAAAAATATTTAAGTGATGAAAATTGTGTAATAGCCTAAAAAACAACAATTTAATGTACATATTAAGAATAATAAAATCTTACAATTGGAATTTCTGTGAATAAATTAAATGATAAATCTATTATTGAAAAAGCATGTGGATTTATAAATGTCATTTGTACAAAATTCGGTAATGTATCCAACGAACCATTTAAATTATTATGATTCAAATTAATTCCATATGAATGATATCGATAACCTTCTTTAATAACATTGGTTGCACCAGGTACTACACGTGGTTCAGCCGAAACAGCTTCTAGAAATCTCAATCAAATAAATATTTCACAAAAAAAAAATAAATCAATTTAAACCTTCAACTTTATTTGCTCCACGAAATGAATAATCAAGAAGAGGATAATATTCTGTTGAATCATCAATACGTTTTTGTATATTTGATAAAGAACGTTTTGAACTTGTTGCAGACTTCATCTCTTAATCAATGATAATCTATGCTGTTTATCCATCGTAAGAAGTTGCTAAGAAATGGCACACCTGTGCATTACAACGTATATAGAATGAAGGTTGCTGTTCAGCGATCGAGTATTAAATTCACCGATTATGACAGAACAAAGAAAAAAGAAGCATGCATGTATAATATAAAAAATAATAAACAAAAATATATTTATATTTATACATAGATATGGTTTTGTTCATTCAATTGATATATAACACAAATCAATGACTACAACAAAATTGCTATGAAATCTGGACCACTTGATATGTAACAATGATAATTAAAATTCTTATTTTTTCATGATTTTTTGTTGTTTTTCAGAAAACGAAAAAATCCAATTTTGGGTGTGGGTCACTCAAGAAAATTACATGCGCGTTCACTTAGAATTCATTATCGTTTTTTCTTTTTGTTTGTTCGTTTAAATGACTGCTTGTGTGAGAAGATAGTATTTCATTATGAAACTAATCTATAGTCATCTAACTCTCATCTGAACGAATTCAGTCTGATTTTTATTTTTTTGTCGCTCATCGAAATCGATTGCACATGTCGACAAAGGTTCATCAAGTAAAGTTGGAGATTTTCTCATCGATTATTGATTTAATTCAAATCTCAATGTTTTAATTGTTTGCCTTTCACCGTAATCAAAGAAATTCTCTCTAAATCGAATTTCAACTTGTTCAAATCATATAATTCAATTCCGTTATCTTTTCTCGAAGGTAACTGCCATCATGTACACATGTTTAAAATTAGAATGCAAGTACAAGTATTTGATACACTTTACCCCGCACTGGCGCAGATGATCGATCGAAAATTTATCGACTTACTAGAGAACCTCTCTAGGTGCTAAAAAGCTTTTAAGCTAAAGTTTTGCCCCCAGCAGGATATGCATAGACTGACAAAGCCTAAGAAGATATGGGTCCAAATCAAGATTCTCCTGTGATATCGACTTTTTACTACAATTTTCTTCTAAGACTCAACATTTCCGATAAAACCCTTAATAACAGAATACCATTCAACTTAGCAATATCCATCTAAAATGTCTCACTAGTTCACTTTCACAAAACTCAGCCTATATCCAACCGATAACAATACTGTATTTTAACAGTATTTAAAACACACGTCTAATTTTATCTCATATAACGCCTGATAATTACTATCGGAAAAAACCTTTCTTTATATCATCTACAACTTTCCACATATGACTTCAATTTTTACTATTAAAATCTCATAGCCTCTAGTCACTGCTAGAAATACTTTGCGATTGAAAACATTTCTTAATTATTTACCTTCGCCCTCCAGAACGATTTCAGAAGAGTCACTAATAAAGTAACCATTGATGTAGAGTGTTGTCCTCTTCCGTAAGTCACTGATATAAACAGATCGACCAGATGTGCCTCCCCTACGTGCATAGTAATTTTGGCAGCTGCAATTGCCATTTTATGTCGAACAATCTCTTGTTCAACTTATTTGTGTGAAAATTTTGTATTGTATCTTATTCAATGGCAGCAACTTGTGTTGGTATTTATCGCGTAGCACTTATCATATGTCTTAGAGGTAGAAATGGCAATTCCAGTTGTCTATGGAGAGAGGTGGGAGAAGAGTTAATCAAACATTTGCGTTTCCTACAAATTAGAGTAATTTATCTTGACATAAGTTTTTTTAAGGATTTTTTAAAAGAATTTATTTTCTACATGCGCTCCCATTAAGCAAACTATTAATAGTAAACGATCAAATTTCATCGTTTCACAAAAAAAAACTAATAAAATTGTCCACTTTTTAATGAACCGAAAATTTATGACCATTTTATTATACTTAAACTCAATTTTTCTTGTGTTTGTAAATGAGTAGTAGCCATTTTCGAAGTTAGAATGAACTCATTTCAAATGAATAAAACTATACAAATATCAATCAAAACTATCCTAACACTATTTTCATTCGATAATAATCAATTCATAAGATTTATATAACATATTTGTTCTTGAAATTCATATTAAATCGGTATAAAATGTATCTATATTATCATATCTTTCATATTAACTTTTGTTGAATTGCTATATTTTAGTCTCAAAGAACTATTAAATCTATTTCAAGAAAAACTTTTGCTTATATAAATGTTGATTTTATTCCAAAATCTTCAGATTATCTCCTGTCATTTTGACATATAAGTTATTACTATTTTCTTAATTTATCTAGATTGTTTATGGGTTACTAAAATATTTTATGTCCCGTTAGATTAATTGTTTTACAAGATTAATCGACTAATGTGTACGTTGTTTCTTGATCCTAAATAAGGACACTAACACTGTTACATTTGATCAATCAGTATAAAAATATCTAATGTATCGGTGAAATTTCTAACAAAATAATCGAAAAACTTTGACGGAGATATCTCTGAACTTAGCACTAGTTGTCAATTACTGCTAATGTTATGATTCAAAAAA